TCTCTACTAGGTTGGAGGCCATCGCTATTAGGTGGAGGCCGTCTCTACTAGGTTGGAGGCCATCGCTATTAGGTTGGAGGCCATCGCTAATAGGTTGGAGGCCATCTCTACTAGGTTGGAGGCTATCGCTAATAGGTTGGAGGCCATCGCTAATAGGTTGGAGGCCATGCCTTTGCCATTGATGAATGGCAGAATCTTCCGGCTCTTCAGTCCAAGGAGCAAGGTCATTGACTGCGTCGGAGATGACCCCGACCCGTCCAGGCTACGTTTGTTGAGGTTGTCAACCAGTTCCTTTGAAGGAAAAAAAAAGTAAGAAAGATGCAAAGGAAGCGTGAAAAAGATTGCCAGCTCCTTTTTTCCTTGTTCGCGTCGGTTGTATCATTGTTTCTTCTGGGCTTTCGTGCCGCAGGTCCATGGAGGACATGTCCAAGATTCAGGATTTGACAGTGTATTTTCAGTGAAGAACACAAACGTGTCTTTTTTTTACCTTCCTTATTTTTTCATGAAGAAACAAACACCCCACCGCGTAGTTTGCATGTAGAAATATGTCCTGAGATTTACAGTTTCAAGAGGACTACTACCCTTGGACGCTCATCTCGGCCCTTTTCTGCCCGTCCTGCCGGCAAAATTGATGGTCGTGAGGAGAGATCTAATGTCTTTTCATGCCAGGATTTTTGGAGGTATGGGTGTTTACCACTCCTACAATGTCGCTTGACTCGCACTCTCAGCTTGTTTAAATTAGACAGAAAGGGGTGAAGTTCCAAATTCCATTCTCATTCATCCAGCATGCTTTGCCTGTGCTTGCACACAAATGACTTGCAACAGCAATGGCCTCCAAGCTACCTGCGATTTTGGCCTTGAGTGATTCAGAAAGCCAAGGTGCAGAAGTTGAAAAAGAAGAAGGACCTGAACGCTGCGCGCTTGTCCTCAGCCCGTGCTGCGAAGTGGAAGCCTCAGGTTCTTGCGAAGTGACCAAAAACAAAGACGAATGGATACCCCATTTCTTCTTCCTAGTACCAAGAATGCTGCTAGTAGTAAGGCCAGAAGCCCCTAGTAGCGTCCTTGCTCCTAGTAGTAAGGCCAGGAGCCCCTAGTAGCTTCTTTAAGTCTCGACTATGCCTGACTTGGACACTTATATTTTTGAGTGCCTGATTTCAGGTGGGGTCTGTGGGCCATCATGGTCGGCATGGTCATTCTGGGCTCGTGAGGGCCTTGGACAAACGAGTTTTTTCTTCAGAATCAGTCGTGCCAAAAAAGAAGACGAACGAAACGTCCAGTCCACTGAATTCGTGGCAGGGCCACCATCATTGGGCTCACGAATGGCCGTGTTGGACACTAAGATCAAGATGGCGAATTCCGTCTGAACGAGATCGATTTGAGGTCGCTCCCCAGCCCATTGAGGAGGACGATGGCGACGACTACGGGTATGGGGATGTTGGAGATGATGGGGACGATGGAGATGATGGGGACGCCGGTGACGATGATGGAGACACGAAAGAGGATGAGACAGTCGGGGCAGCCTGGAAAGAATGACACATCGAATGCAAAGCCTTGTCGTGTGTTTGGTTAATCATGACGAACAAAAGGCTTGGACATTTGCAGGTTTGCAGTCTGCAAGAGTCTAGTAACAAGGACGCTACTAGTAACAAGTGCATCGCTTCTAGTAACAAGTGCCTTACTAGTAGTAACAAGGACGCTACTAGTAACAAGTCTCAGAAAACCACCTTGCAAAGGCGGAGAGGCGACTTCACCTTCGTCAACATCATGCATGAGTGAGATGACTCACAGCTTGACATAGCCAGGCCAAGAAAATGAGTTTTTCCATTGTGGATTAGCAAAAAAATGGATATTGTGCAAGAAGTTTGTCAAAAGTGCCGAAGGAGCCTGGCTCGTACAATAGGGTCTGTAGTCTCCATCAAAGATGGCTAGCAAAACTGGGGACAGCTTTCAATATTTTACAATTCATAGTTGACACAACCTGAAAGGTGTTGTCCCACTCTGCTCGATTTTGTTGGTACAACGCCGGCGGCAAACACAGGAAACAGTTCCCAATCATCCAGAAGAAAGCAAGCAAGGAACGAAGTTAGTGTTGGCTTCTAGGGATGGCCTCCACCTAGTAGCTTCTAGTTGCTGCTGTTCCAAGATTCGATTGATTTTCTCGACTAACCAACTTGTGATGGGCAAAGGGCAAAAACTGAGCGATGCAGCGCGATGGCTGCAGCTGCTGCGGGTCGGAAGAAAGGGGTTTATGCAAAGAACCTAGATTGCACGCCTCCACGCTGCATGCCTGGAGTGCAGCGTTAACAATCAGTTTTCCCATAGAGCGAGAGCTATTGGGTTTCTTACTTCAAGTATAGGAAGGAGTGCTTGTGTGCGCTTTGGAGTTTGTGTTGTATTTGCCATCTCATTTCATCCACTTTTGTGAAACAATAAATACCTATTTTTGTTTGTTTATATGTTGTGGATTGTAGCATATTCACGTGTACCACCTATGTTTGTAAAGATGCATGTGCAAAGTGTCCACCTCAGGACTTTGAGGTCAGTGTAGAGGAATCCCTAGAACCATAGGGTTGAACTGTTTTGCACTGCAATACATGGCTCAAGAGAGAAAACCGGCGCTACCTGTGCTGTTTCATGGTAGCGGAGCCCTCAATTGGGCTCTGCTTGTGAGAAAGGCAAGATTCCGAAGAACAAGCGTGGAATCAGGCCCAAGGACAAATAGGTTGAACGTATAGCATCTTATAAGTGACAGAAGAGTTCCATTTCTGGTTACATTGAGCACGAAATTCTACAAGGACTCCTTCCCGCAGTTCAACAGAGTTGATTTTCCTTACAGGTCAACTGTCATTTGGAAGTCAGGTTTGTGGGAATTGGTCGAAATGGCCGAGCAGAAGTAGACGAAGATGAGATTGAAGAATGTGAAGGTGAAAAAGTGAAGAGAGTTAGCTTCTTTCACCAAACAGTGGACGATTTCATGGCATCAGGAGATGATTCACCGTTGTTGAGACAGGACATCCACAAGAAGTTCGACCTTGAGAAGAAGAAGGAGGGAAGTGTAGTTGTCGAAGGTTGTTTGGCAACAGCCTTGAAGATGGAGTCTATGAGGAGGAAGATGATGAAGAAGAAATGGGTGAACAAGAACCCATTGATGATGGTGATCCATTTGGACGCCAAAAAGCTCCTCCTTACAGAGAGATTTCGTCGTTGAGGGAGTTGAGAAGAGCATTGAAGAGGTGTGGCCTTGGTAGAGGAAAGAACAAAAAGGAGGCGTGTAAGATGCTCGTGCATCACTATTAGCATATCGAGCTGTCAAGGAAAGAATTTCAGAGAATGAAGGCTGATGAAGGAGAAAAAGCCAAAGGACAGTTAGTGCCGAGGATGCCTTCGAAAGCAGAAAAACAAGTCATGAACTGACTCACTTTCCATACCAGCTTTGGTGCCAGCATTGCATTGCTGGAAGAAGGCGCGACGACTGTCACCTGAGCGCCAAGCATGCTTCAAGACAAGAAGGAAAGGCAGAAATGCCTGTCATCTCGATGGACTTCTGTTTCAGCCGAGGTGATGATATGAGGTGGATAATGACATGAAAGAGGACCTTCGTGTCAACCAAGGTGATTTGAGAGGAGGAACATGCCTGGTGGTGATAGATGATTGGTTATATACAGTCTTGTGTGCACCAAGACCAGGGAACGGCAGGGCCTATTTGAAGGTTCATTGGGAGCTTGGGGTACTCACAAGTAATCCCCAAGGGG